AAACGTTCCAAACCATATACTCATTTAACTGCCATACAAAAGAAGGAAATATGTCAACGTCAAAGAGATAATCCTAATATATCCTATCGTAATCTGGCAAAAGAGTATGGAGTAGGAAAATCAACAATACAAGATATTATTTTTCAGTCAAAAAAATGGTTGGCTATTGACATTAATAAGACATCTACGTACTGTCTGAAAAATAAACCCCCAAAATGGCCAAACTTAGAACAAGCATTATGGTTATGGACGACGACAATAATTGAAAATAATCTTCCACTGACAGGAGAAGCTATCATTGCTAAAGCCCACGTTTATGCAGACCGTTTGGGGATAAAGGATTTTAAAGGAAGTGATGGCTGGCTGACAAATATAAAAAACGGTATAATTTGCATAACATCGTACGGCATGGTGAATCAGCCAGCGCACCCTCCGCAGAATTTATCGAAAATGAAAGAACACGTCTCCGTACTGAATTGGCACCATATAACCTGGATGATATATATAATGCTGATGAGACAGGACTTTTTTGGGCCATGGAACCTTCAAGAACTTTGTCTAATCGTGAGATTAGCGGTCATAAAAAAAATAAAAGCAAAGTCTCCATTCTATTAACAATGAATGCTTCTGGCACTGATAAGTTGCCACCAGTATTTATCTATAAATACCAAACTCCTTTTCCTCTCCGTCATGTGAATAAGGCCTTACTTCCGGTACAATATTATTGGAATAGTAAAGCGCATATGCAAGTAAGTTTATTAATAATACGTGTATAGCATTGCATTGCTGTTGCCTGTATTAAATTATTTCAAAATAGGTATCTATATTTAACGATTGGTTAAGATGGTTTGACCAACGGATGAAACACCTGAACCGACATGTTATTCTCCTCTTAGATAATGCAACCGTGCATAAAATTATTCCTGAAAATGAACCAACTAATATAACCGTTAAGTTTTTGCCTCCTAACACTACTTCGATATTGCAGCCAGCTGATGCTGGAATTATCCATAGTTTTAAAGCACAGTATAGAAAATTATTCATCCAACATCAGTTGCAATTATTTGACGATATCATGGAAAGTAATGAGCAGAATGGAATCGGTAAATATAATATAAAGCATGCTATCTATAATGTTTCTAACGCATGGAATAATGTCTCTATGGAAACAATTTAAAACTGCTGGCGTAAGGCCGGAATCCTTCCTATGCCATCTCCCGAATGCTTCTTCGACTTTAGTAGCGTTGACAACGATAATACACAAATAGATGAATGCGCGCAAACATCTTTCGATGAGATAATAAGTCAGGCTAGCGAGAAGATTGAAGAAGAGGCAAATAACCAACGGATATTAATTCAGGATTTAATCAATCAACTACATTTACCGGATTCGTTATCTGCTGACGGTAAGTGACAAGAACTTGAGTTCGTTCTGTTATAAATACTCTATTAACATTATATTCAATGTAGAATTCATTCTTGTCGACAATATGGAGAGTTCCGTCGGGACGTTAAATGACGAAGATATTATTCGGAAGGTTCTAAATCATAATAACGAACTCGAAACGGAAGATAATTCCGATGTAGAAGACATAAAAATTTCATTGAAAGAAGGGGAAGATGCATTAAAAAAGTCTTTATTATTTCTTGAACAACAGGATAGTGATAACATTAATACTTGTGTAGACGATTTATCAGTCGTTCGTCGACTCATTAGTCAAGTTTCATATTATCGTAGGTTACGGTATAAACAGT